AAGGACGGACTTACCTATGTGACTGGAGATCATCACAGCACAAAACCTCACTGGCATGCAAGGTATCCCTGGATTGAGGACTTGGGAACGCTGCCTGACAATAGGAAAGCTGTTGAAGCGACGTTCCTGAGAACCGAGAAGCAACTGACAAGGGAGATTGAATGGAAAATGGCTTATAAAGCACAGATCCATGACATGGTCGAGCGGAAGGCCGCTATAAAGCTTTCAAAGGAAGAGTTAGAGGATTGGATTAGACCAGTATGGTATATCAGTCACCTAATTGCACCAAACCCTCACTCTGTTACCACACCAGTCCGTCTCATGTGGAATAGTAGCCAGAAATTCAGGGGTCAAAGCCTGAATGACTTACTCATTAAAGGCCCAGATGTCCTCAACAGTATACGTGCTGTTTTAATCCGTTTCCGGCAAGGCGTGTTTGCTGCGCTTGGAGACATAAAGAAAATGTACAATTCTGTATGGCTCGAGGACCAAGAGGTACATCTTCATCGCTTCTTGTGGAGAGACTCTGAGGATGAGGATATCCAGGAGTATGCGATCACAAGAGTCAACATCGGCGATAAACCAGCAGGCTGCATCGCACAAGTTGCCATGCGTGAAACAGCAAATTTGCCCATGTTTGATCACCTTGTTGAAGAGCGTCGCGTGTTGGAGCAAGACGCTTACGTAGATGATGTGCTTACATCTCACAGTGATTTGAACCAGCTCAAGCAAATAACAGCCAATGTTGAGCGAATCCTGGAAACTGGTGGATTTTATATGAAACCATGGGTTTATTCTGGCCAAAGTGGGAGGCCAGAATCCAAGGACCTTGAGAAGAAGGAACCTGTGGTGATGGTCCTTCCGAATCAACTCCCTGACGAGAACAATAAAGCTTTGGGCCTAGGCTATGATCCTGAGAGTGATAAACTTCATTTGATGACAGCGGTAAACTTCTCCAAAAGGAAAAGGAAGATGAGATTGGGAGAGAACTTGTCCAAAGATGAAATCAGGGCGCAAGTGCCGAACCCACTCACTCGTAGAGAGCTCCTGAGTCAAGTCTCTGGGCTGTATGACCCCCTTGGTCTTGCGACACCTGTCAAGCAGAAGGGGGCCATTTTGGTGAGAAGAGCATTTCAGGAAGCAAGGGGCAAATACAATCCATCAGAAAATACATGGGATGCTCCTCTGTCTGAGGGTCTCAGGGAAGACGCTGTTCGCCTCTTTGAAGATTATGCTGAGCTTGGCCGGTTGAGATTCGTCAGAGCTTTGACACCTCCTGATCCATGTGGCGAGCCCTGTGGCATCACATTCTCCGACGGTAGTGAGCGTTCATATGGAGCTGTGCTGTACCTGCGGTGGCAACTACCACAAGATGTTATTGTGCGGTTTGTTGAGTCCAAAGCAAGGTTGACGCCGTTAGACCATAAAGGAGATGCTGTTAAAGCTGAGGTCTGTGGGGCTGTGTATGCTGCTCGCTTGAAAAAGTATTTCGAAAGGCATTCTAAGATTCAGGTAGAGAGATGGTACCACTTAGTTGATAGCCAGACAGTCTTAGGAGCTGTCCAACGTGAAAGCTATGGCTACCAAACATTCTTTGCCAATAGAATCGGGGAAATTCAAGGCAGCACAAATGTTCAAGACTGGTGGTGGGTTCCTGGACCACTCAACATAGCGGACATTATTTCAAGGGGGGCAAGCCCCGAAGAGTTGAACGAAGGCTCAGAGTGGCAGCTGGGTCCTAAGTTCTTAAGGCTCCCAGAAAGTGAGTGGCCAGTGAAATCTGCTAAGGATGTTGCCGTTGAAGCAAGAGAGAACCTCACAAGGATCCAGAAAAAAGCTTTTGTTGCTGCTCTTACTAGGGTCAGGGCAAAGAAAGCAGGCCTGAAACAGGACTTAAATCTTCCCTCAGTGAATTTACATAGGCCGTCTGCCAGGACTGCTGCAAGTCTGGTAGATATCAAGCGGTTTAGTAGCCTAATTCAACTAGTTAAGTCAGTAGCAATGGTCTGGAGGGCGGCAAAGAAGTTTCTTCATGCCAAAGCCACCGGAAATCCAAAGTGGGAGGCAGTTCTATTGACGGGCATTGTTACTGTGGCCGAGAGAGAAGACGCTTTCCGAGACCTCTGTCTGTCAGCTCAAGAAGGAGTTACTTTCCCTACCACCACAACGGATCGGTTGGTGGTGTATAGGGATGAAACTAGTGGACTGTTGCTGTGTGGGGGCAGAATTCAGCATTTTAGAGAAGACTACTCGGCTGTTCCACTGCTGCCCTTTGACACTTGGCTAGGGACGCTACTAGCACGTCAAAGTCATCAGCAGGGACATGAGGGGGTTGCTGGAACGCTGCTTAGGATGCGGCAAAAGGCTTGGGTTGTGCAAGGAAGGAGGTTGGCCCAAAGGATCGTCAACCAGTGCATCCTTTGCAGAAAGGTAAGAGCTCGAGTGTGCCAGCAAGTGATGGGTGACCTTCCAGTAGAGAGGTCAAGACCTGCCGCTCCTTTCCAGTTTACGACTATTGATTTGTTCGGCCCGTACCTGGTGAAGGATGATGTGAAAAGAAGAGTGTCCATGAAGGTCTGGGGGGTTATCTTCTGCTGCATGGCAAGCCGCGCTTTATATGTAGATCTGGCCAGCAGCTTGTCTACAGAAAGCTTCTTAATGTCCTACCAAAGATTCACAACCATCAGGGGCCATCCCTTTAAGGTTTGGTCAGATCCTGGGACCAATTTCATTGGTGCGAGGGCCTTGCTGGTGGATCTGTATGCCTTCTTGCAGAGCCAAAATATACTGAGCTTAGAGGAGTACGCTGTAAAGAATGGGACAAGCTGGTCCTGGGAGGTGTTCCCTGCTGACTCACCACATCGGAATGGGGCTGCTGAAGCGGCTGTGAGAATTACCAAGAGAGCTCTTCAAGGGCTGGGCAAGTCAGCAAATCTTACCTTCAATGAGTTCCTCACGGCCCTCCATCTGGCGGCGAACCTGGCTAACGAGAGGCCTATCGATGCAAGAGTCCAAAGTCGAGAGGGTCGTATCCAGTATGTGACACCTAATGCGCTCCTCCTAGGCCGAGCATCTCACAGTGGGGACTTCGGGTCCTTCAATTTCAACAACTACCCCTACAAGCGCCTCAGGGAGATTCAAAGCCAAGTTGATGCCTTTTGGAAAGCATGGTGCCAGCTTGCTGGGCCGAACCTCTTCATTAGAGCTAAATGGCATACCGCAGAAAGGAATGTTACTGTGGGAGACGTCGTTTGGCTTTGTGATCAAAACTCCCTGCGAGGTCAATTTAGGCTTGGCCGAGTCGTCTCTGTGGCACCGGATTCGAAGGGCATCGTGAGAGATGTTGAAGTTCTTGTTGTACCTGGGGGCTGTGTGTCGGTCCAGCATCAGAAGCCTGTAATCCAGCACTTAGCTTCTGGCGGCGGGAAGGAGAGGCCTACTGGGGTTTTATTACGTAGGGACGTCCGGCGACTTGTAGTCCTGTTGCCTGTGGAAGAGCAGGACACTGAACTCTTTTAGGGTCTATATTTGGCTGATGTTCTCCAACCTTTTTGTTCGAGAACGAAAAAGGTTGAGTGGGAGGTGTTGCGGCGAATGTCATTCGCGCAGGTGGTCATGCGGAACTAATAATTACTTACCTGTGTGCACCCGGGAGGAAGAC